AGACTTAAACCTTAATATAATTTCCTTTTTTCCATGTTTTTCATAATCCTGAAAACATTAGAGGGATGGGGAGGAAAGGCTGGCTGGGGAACCTTAAATACACCACTGATTTGAAATCATAGTAATCATAATTACTCCTCTAAAAACCGGGTATTATTGAGGGGCTCGCTGGCCGTTGTAATCTTCAAAAATGTTAAATTTGTAATTATTTAAAATTATTACTTTTTAAAACTTTTTATTTATTTATTACGGTATAGAAAAAAATGTACAAAACGGTAGCACGCAGAAACTTTTTTACAATAGATAAAGATATAAAAAACGAATCTAATTATTAAGCTACAGAATAGATTGCACTTCAATTTAAAACTTCAATTCATATTTACACCTAAAAAATTGAATTAAGTACGGTAATAAATAACAAGAATAAGAAGCTATATATACAAATTTATATTGAGAAAAAAAAAGTATATTATTGGATTACATAAAAGTAGATTATAAAAATTAATTAACAATTAAAAATTTAAAACTAATACTTAAAATACAAAAATTATCTGCAGCTCTTCAATCAAAGCTATGTACTTTACTATTATACTTATTATTATTTCACAATTATTATCAGGCATTTAGTTTTTTAATAATGTAAGGTATTGATGAATTTTTGTGTCGACTTCTTTTCATTTTCGGTAATGGAAAACTATTGGAGTGACGTAAGCTGTATTCACCGACTCTTTCAGCTGGTAACATATCACGGTGCCTTTTCGACATTAAAATTTCTTTTTCGAACTTTAAAATTATTTGTTCCCTGCGCTCAGCAAGACTAAGTAATTTTTAGTTGATTTAGGGCAGTAACATAATTTTCATATTTTTGACCAAGTATAATTTTGCATGCTCGCTTTTGCAACCTCTCAATTTGGTTAGACTGGTGTTTAGTAAGACTACAGTGCCAAACTACACATGAATACTCAGTCAGTGGCCGGATATAGAGTTTTTAAATTCTAATCATTTCCCCAATTGGGGCATTATAACCTCTCTCCGTGCATACAGATGAAACATTCTTTTACTTGCTCTAGAAATTATACTATTAACTTGTACATCCCAACGTAAATTGTCTTGTAACTCAAGTCCTAACAACTTACTTTATATTATGGACAGTATCTATATTTTTACCATTTATAGTGTATTGGGGATAATTGATCTGGGACTTTATGAAATTTTTATTGATAACATGACATTTGGCTGGCTTGGGCTGCATGTCATTATCTCTACACAAATTACCTAGATAATCCAGGTGGGTTTAAAGTTCTGACGTTTATCTTTTGTATTAACTATTTCTCCTAGGGTCAAATCATCGACAAATTTCTAACGATTTTCAGTAGTGGTTTCCGCATTATTTACCATAACTGTAAATAATTTATGTCGGGCCCCAATTTGGTACCCTGGGGACACCACAGGTAATAGTTTTAAGTTCGGCACGATGTCTTTTGAATTTATAATTGGCCCTAATTAGTTCAGCAGTTATGTCGAAAAATCGTGCACTTTATGATAAAAACATGAAACTTGGCAAACATGTACTATGAACCATAGCTAATATTTCCAGGTAGGGACTCACGTCAACAGTACCCTCTCTCGGCCAGAAATGGAAAATTTCTATTTTTAGCCATATTCAATATAGAAATGTACTTTAAATCAGCCTCAGCTCTTCGTTTATATATTATTAGTAGTCACATTAAAATAAGTATTAAAGAGGATTTGTTTGGTATATAAGCGTAAAAATTACAATTAAAGCGCCTTCCAGTGGTAAACAAAAAATTGAAATTTCTATTTTAGTCATATTAATGGCAGTATTCCTTTAAACTTTAAAGTTAGATTTAAACAACATTTTATAGTATTAAGATACAAATGACAACGGTTAATCGAAGATTTTTTTTTAAACCGTCAACCGGTGTTCATGGCATTATTGAAAGACATTGAACATTTAAAAAAAAGATGCCTTGTCCCATGAAAGCAGCCAATTTCCAAGGGCAAAAAAAATCTTTAAATATACCTAGGCATGGTACTTAACCAATCAGCTTAATGTAAAAATAAATATATAAATAAAATAATAATAATAATAATAATAATAATAATAATAATAATAATATTTTTTTTTTATTAATCAATTAATTAATTTTTTTTCTTTTTATTTTTATTTTTTTTATTTTTTTTTGTTTTTTTGTTTCCGCAACTCTTAGCTTAAGATGTCATTCGCATTTTCTATATATTTATTTGTATTATAAAACATCCTGTAATTTGCTTCTGCTGTTGGATGATTTTCGAAATAAAATGAATAAAATAAATAAATAAAATAACCCCAGAAGTATATTACAAAATGTTTTTTTTAAATATAAATGTACACTTTCGATACTAAAATCCCAGGATCATTCAGATAAAATACATGACAGTATTCAAGTTCAATTTAAATAGTTTTTTATGGTATAAAAATGACAACGGATGATCAAACAGTTTTGCAAAAACATTAACCGGGGTTTAGGGCATTATTAAAAGACATTCAGAATTTAAGAAAAAACACAAAGATGCCTTATCCCATGCAAACCTCAAATTTCCAACGACAAAACATCTTTAAAAATACATCTTGGCAAGGCACTTTAACAATCAAGTTAATGCAAAAAAGAAATCTCCAGAAGTATGCAACAAATAATCAAGCAAGCTCGACCAATCGGACCCACCCTTGAAACAAAATACCCACGACCCAGCACAACCCTCTGTCGCACCGCCCCACTCCACCAACTCTAAAAGCCAATCCATAATGAGTTTACACAAGTCTCCATGAAAACAGAAGATGCCTAATTTTCCACCGTATGTTTTACAGAATGAACAAACATCACGTAAACAAACCCCAGCAATTTACAACATTCTTTTGAACCTAAATTTTACAAATACATTTTTTGTTATTCTTTTGATACAAATAAACCCAAGGAAAATTCAGTAAAATCTACTATTTTACTCCATTTAGCTGTAAAGTTGTACATAGTATTTCTTTCCGTGGCAATATTTCTTTCACCGTTAAATTTGACAATATTTCAATCTCAAAATCTACAGAAGTACGAACTATTGGTTTGACTCTTGACCAATCTCTATCTATAGAGAAACACATATTTGATACTGTACTTGCAAAGCTGTTAGGTACCACTTCATCTTCATCTACCGTTCTCAACTGTCCCATTGGTCACATAAACACTTGCGGCGATCCTTCTGTTATTGATGCTGCTCCAAAACTTTGGAACCAGCTACTTGAGACTGTACGTGACTCTCCATCTTTGATTGTCTTCAATCATGGCTCATATCCCATCTTTTCACTTAACTTTAATTCTGAACTCGATTTCTTTTCTTTTGGTTTTTGATTTTTTTTTTTGTGCACTTGGGTTGTGGTTTGTTAGCGCACAGAGACGATTTTGTATTACTCGTTATATAAGCATATCACCATTACCATTAAAATAATAGGTATGTATGTATGCATGTTTCAAAGTTCAGGGTAATTAGCAATTTCTAATTTGATCGTTGTTTTTGTAACATGATCGCATTGATCGAGGCGTCAGCGTCAATATCGGTGATGAATAAAATCGCCTAAAAACACACTTTATTTTCAGAAAATAACTCTTTCATACAATAAATATGTTTTCAAAATACATACTGTACCAAGTATATCGACATATTTCCATCATTTGACCAAAACAATGCATGTGCTGTCAATTACGCTTGAAGCCAGCTTGTGTGTTTACAAAAATGAAAACTAACCCTGAACATGGCTTTTGAACTTTCTATTATCGGTGACTTGCGCCCTCTCCACGTTGAAAAAGATGAGAAAATAAGGAAAATGTTGATATAAAGATCGTCATATTATCGTAATTTTTCATATTTTTCATAATGTTTTTTGACACCACCAAGGCTTAATTTTCACACGACCTTGAACGGCTAGGCAGAAAATGATAAATTATGGATTTTACTTCGCGAAGTAGGTAGGCTGTTAGCACACGGAACGGAAAGAGTGGCTGAACGCGGCGAGGTGCCTAGAGAACTTAGTCTAGACCCCCTTCGTAGATGTATTTTTATTCTGGCTGCTGGTTCAGAATTCAATAATTCATTTTCAAAATTATTCATAAAAAATATTTATAAATATTAAAATCTATAATTGGAAATAATTTATTTTATTTACTTTTTAAATAATCTTACAACACTAAAATAATAGGTTATAATAGGTTAAGCATTTTTTAAAATTATCTTTCAATTGGTATTAATCATTATTGTATTATTCCACCTTTAGAAAAAGTGATATTTAACAATATTTCTGTCACTGAAAAAATCTGAACTAATTGTTTACAAATATTTACGGGTCAATGGTGGCAAAGAAGCAGTGGCGTATCTACGTGTCTTGAAATAGTGGTGCTGATGGGAGGGGGTGCAAAGGTGAAGTGGTGGCGGGCTCAATGATCAGCTGAGGGGCGCTAATTCAGAAAGTAAGGCGATTTTAGGTGATTATTAACTACTTGATTGTGATTGGGGGTGACTGGGGGCGCGTGTAATTTTTTGAGGGGTATGCAAAGGTTCTATTAAGATTCAAATAGGCCTACGTAAAGTATTAAATCTCTATCTCTATAATTAAGCATTTATTTCATTAAATGTGTGGAGTCTTGTAAAAATATATTGCCTCGACCAACACTGTGCCACTTATAAATATCTTTGGCAGGGGTGGCGCCAACGGGGGGGGGGAGCCCCCGTCAGGGAGAGCTTCCCCCACCCCGTCGGGGAGAAATTTACATTTTTGAATGGAAAATTTTCTTCATAAAGATTTTTGAATATGATTTCAAAATTATTGTAGGCTTCGTCAGGGTCATGTACATCAAGGACTTCAGACCACTGTTACTGTCTCTTATACACATCTCCCTGGCGCCACCCCTGATCTTTGGTAAGACCAGTTTATTTCACTCTCGGGCTATACTCACCTATTTCACAGTTGGCTCCTTTAAATCCTGCCGGACATATGCATAGACCAGTTATGTCATCACATACACCGCCATTGTAACATACGGGACAGTCAAGTTCACATGAAGGAGGGTTCCATTTTGGAGAAGGACACGCTTCAATGAGACTTTATGCATTAATAAGTTTAAATTACTAGCATAATGATATTTTATCTTGATATCTATATTTCATATGACAACCTGTGAAATATGAGAAGATGCAACTAGGCTCCATGTAGAAGCCTAGTGTGTACTTATTATAGCCAGTCAAATAAAACCTATAGGATTATATTTTCCATTACCTCTAACAATGAGTCTCATTATTCCATGGTTTCCATCTTTTCCATATTCATCTTGATAACATTCATAAACACCGCCATCTTGCTTTCGTACATTTTCAATTTTGATTGTCGAACTTCCGTTCCATTTTGAAATGACGTCACCGTAGTTATGAGTCCATTGTAGATCAGTCATTGGTCGGTTTGTGGTCATAATTATTTCTACGTTCTCTCCTAATCCAACTGTCAATGTTCGTTGTTCAAACGTAATTTTTGCTTTTAAAGTTAAAAAAAGAAAAAACGTGTTAATAAGTGCAAGAATTAAATAATATAGCCTACAAATATGGTAAATTTGAGCGAGCCAAATGGCCGAGCGGTTAAGGCAGGGGCACCGTGATCATAGCCAACAATATCGGCACGGGTTCGCGGCCGGCTTGCTCCTATAGTGCTGGTGATGGAACAAGGCTTTTAGGATAAGGACTATAAACCGTAGGCCCAGTGTCAATTCAATTCAATTCAACATTTATTTACTTCCTTTTTAACAGAGATACATAATACAATGGTTTTTAAATAAATTGAAAATGCATAAAATCATGAAAATTAAAATGACAAGAGTAAGGAAGATGGCAAGACCCGAGAAGATAAGAAAAACCAATCTTGTGATGGGACAGCCAGAAAAAACGAAGAGAAAAGCAAAAGAGACAGCACAGGACAGAGACAAACAGACAAAACATTCAAAACAAATCGAAAACAGACCGACAGACCAAAAAAGTGGAAATAGGGAGATATAAGTGTTTTTTTGAATTGGTTAGCAAAAATGTTAATGGAAGATGCATTGACTAAATGAGAGTGTAACGAGTTCCAAAATGTAGGGCCCTAAAATCTGATATTATGCTAGAAATAATTGTTTCTGTGGGTGGGTATACGGATATTGGAGCTATTTTGTGTACTGTAATTATGAAAGGAGTAATTGGATTTGAAAATGTTACAGAAAAGAGTTGGTAAGTGACCGTGATTGGAGGCGTACATAAATAGACATTGCTGAAGAGAGTTAATGTCAGCGAATTTTAGAAAATTGAGATTAGAAAATAAAGGAGAAGAATGAGATCATGGTGGAGCGCCAGATATAATCCTGGTAGCCTTCTTTTGAATGATTTGAAGTTTACTTAAGTTGGAAGGGTAGGTGTTTCCCCAAACAATGTTGCAGTAACTCAGATAGGGGAGAATAAGGGAGCAATAAAGAATACGAAGAACGTTGGGGGAACATATGAGGATAACCTAGAAATAATATCAAGCCTTTTGGATAGCTTATTTTCAATTTGGCTGATTTGCTTTTCTCCAATTTAATCCACTGTCAAGATAAACCCCTAAGAACTTAGAAAATTGGGTATTTGGAACTTCATGATTATCAATATAAATTTTTAAAATTTAAATATCGAGAGTTTGTGATTTGTTGGGGCTTCGAAACAGGATGAAGCTACACTTCTCGTGATTGATTAAAAGTTTGTTGGCGGTAAAATATTGAGAAATGGAAATTAAATTAGAGTTAACAGTATTGAATAAGGAATGGATATTTTTTTAGAATATAGAATAGTGGTGTCGTCAGCATAAAGAAAAAAAAAAGAAGGTTTTAAGACAAGTGAATATCATAATTATTTAAAAGGAATAGAAGAGGGCCCAATAAGGATCCCTAGGGGACACCACAAATAATCTGGCGAAAACTGAAGATGGTGTTAGAAGACTTAGTGCATTGTAAACGGTTAGAGAGGTAACTTCGAAAAAGATTAAGGGCTGGACCGCGGATACCATAGTGAGAAAGTTTAAATAAAAGGATATTGTGGTCAGTTGTGTCAAATGCTTTGGAGAGGTCAATAAAAATTCCTATAGTAAACTGGCTATTCTCAAATGCATCGACAATTTTATTGGTGAGGTCAGTAAGAGCAACGGATGTATTTGTAGCCTTTTCTAAACCCAAATTGTCTGTCATAAAGTATATTAAATTTTGTAATAAATTTAAGAGTTTTGTCATAGATAATTTTTTCAAGGGCTTTTGAGAAGACTGATAAGATTGAAATAGGGCAATAATTTGAAAGATCAGATTTGAAGTCCAGATTTAAAAATTGGTGTAACACAGGCTAGCTTTATTCTGTTAGGAAAGACCCCTTGGAAATTGAAAGGTTAACAATATGACATAATGGGTTTAGTGATGATGTTGGCAACATGTTTAATGACTTTGGTATGAAAATTATCAATACCGGGTAATTTATTGACTTTAAATGAGTTTAATATACAGGCCACTTCAGTTTTATTAACAGGGGTTAGAAAAATAGAATTTGGTGTAGGGTTGAGTAAGAATTCCTTAAAGGATTTGTTAATTTAGGGAATTTTGTTAGCTAAAGAAGGTCCAGTTTCAACGAAGTAGTCATTAAAATGCAGATGCAATTGTGGCGGGATCCTTTTGTTCGCTATTACAATTGAAATAGGGATTTCTTTGATTATTGGGGGACTTTTTATCAGCAGATTTATAGTATTCAAGGTAGACTTGATATCATTTTGTGTTTAAGGAATAAATTTTTGAAGTGGCTAGCTTTGGTAATTTTAATAAGTGAATTTAATTTGTTGCGAAATTGTTTGTAATTGGTTTCATTTTTGTTAGATGGGCAATGAACAAATTTTGCGTAAAGTCTTTGCTTATATTTAATAGAGTTAAGAAGGCCGTCAGACATCCATGGTTTTAGTTTATGAGATTTTTTTTTACATTTTTGAATGGAAAATTTTCTTCATAAAGATGTTTGAATATGATTTCAAAATTATTGTAGGCTTCGTCAGGGTCATGTACATCAAGGACTTCAGACCACTGTTAGTTACAAATTTGTTGTCGGAAAGGTTGAGGGATTAATATTTCTAAATCTTGGTATTGCTTCCCTATCTGAGCCAACTGAATCATTGGGTGGGTGACGAATATTGAATAGATAGGGTATATTAAAAACAGGGAGATGATCACTTATGTCACTGTAGAGTAAACCACTAAAGTTAGGGCAATCAAACATATTGGTAATAATATTGTCAAGCAGGCTAACAGAGGTATTTGTAATACGGGATGGTCTATGGATAAGAGGGAGATAAGGATAACTAAAGAAGGAATTTACGAAGTAATGGGCATCTTTGCTAGATTCATCTTTAAGGATATCCATGTTGAAGTCACCAAGAACATAGACATAACACTGTCAAACTGATCAATAAATTGCGTAGGATCAAGGGAGGGAGCTCAATACAGGGTGCCAACAATAATGTTTTTCAGATTAGGTTGAATAATTTTGATAAAAATTTATTCACAAATATCGGGATTAAGGTTGAGATCTTTTCGTAAAGAGATCTGAATGCTATCCCGGGTATATATGGCTACTCCACCACGTTTATGAGTTCTGTGGTTAGCAACAATGTTATAATTAGGAAGTTGGACCAGTGGATTATCGTTTTTGAGCCAAATCTCACTAACTTAAATTATTTCAAATGGAAAATTCAGGGACGTCAGAAGCTGTTTAATTTCGACAATATTTTTTTTAACACTTCTAGAGTTGAATTGTATTGTGGAAAACTGTTTCTTTTGGTATTATTGACTAAAGATGAGAACTGGCTAGGGTAATAATATTCGGAAGTACTAAACTGGTTATTAAAAAATTGAAAATCGGGGTCAAAATCAGATGTAAATTGTCATGAGTATCTTCAGAGGGAGAAAAAAGTTGGTCAGCTAGTCGGTCGGTGTTCGAAGTCTTTACAGAGGGTTCGACATTGAAATGATACATAAAAAACATAGAAAAGGAAGGCCAATCAAGAGGAAAAGGGGAAAAAAATCAGTTAGTAAATGGCCAGTGAAAAAAAGCTTTGTTTACTTAAAACGTCAATGAAACGCAAAACATAAAAGACTCACAAATTGCTTGAAATTCATTGGATGAATCACGGTATAAATAGTAAAAATATAAGATATGTGTATGATAAAAAAAATTCAATATCATTAATGCAAAGTAACGAGATTATATATACTAGCATTACAATAATCCATACAAAAAAGATGTATTGTTAGAGCATCATAATCATGACATTAGACACAATATACGGTAGTAATTAAAAGTGGTTAATAATGGCAGGTAGCATTATTGTAACAAATATGATGTAATAAGGGTCATAATAAGCATTGAACAAAAGCTATAGTAACAGTATAATGTCACTATAATAAGAATCGGTAATGATAAGAATCGCATAATAAAAAGAAAATAATAATAATACTGAATAATAACAATAATAACAATAATATTAATTAAGTAGATAAAAGTTATGATAGTATTGCAGGAACAGAGGCATCATGTAAAATAGTAAAGGTATAATAAGATGTCAATGCAGGGAAGATCAACATAATAATAATAATAACAATAATAATAATAATAATAATAATAATAATAATAATAATAATAATAATAATACCAACTATAATGATAATAAAATAATAATGTTAATAATACAATAAGAAATAGAACAATAATAATAATAACACAAACATAAAAAAATATTAATATTAATATTATTGATAAAAACAATTACTATTAATAAACGCAAGGTGACGACAAATACAACATTATACCATAATAATCAGAACGTAAAAAAAAAATCAATCAGATTAAAACACCATTCATTCATGATAATAGGAAACAACAACATAATTAAAATAAAAATTGATAATAATAGGATAAAAATTATAATGTAATGAAAGTTGTAATAATTAAGCATTGAAGGATATCCCGTACTCCTGACCCATTTTTTACCCTTAATGACCAGGTCATTGATGTGGTCGATTCTATGAAGTTATTAGGTGTAATTATTCAAAATGATTTAAAATGGGACAAACATGTGAATGAATGTATCTCTAAAGCTTCTAAGCGCCTTTCTTGTACTGTTTTTGTGTATCTTGCCTTTTTACTGTTTTCTTAATTGTTCACAGAGATTTCAGCTTATGCTGCCCTCTGTTTTTAATGTATTTTATTGGTGAATAATAAATAAACCTGAATATAATGTTGATCAGTACATTTCAAGACTACGGATGTCGTATGTTGACATGATGACAATCTTTTTCTTGTCTTTCCTCAGTAGGCAATTTATTCTTCGCGTAGTATGTTCATGCACTACTAAAAAAAAGGAACATTACAGTGTACACTACAGTTGTTGGGTGTAAACTATATCTAAATTACTAGATAGGGGTCTACTTCTACAAGTCCTAGACA